GCGAATCGACGTCTCGCGCCCTGGTATGATATCCTTGCGGAGTACCAACTAACGTTCTCATACCTTCCAGGTGCGAAGAACGGGATCGCAGACGCGCTTAGCCGAATACCAGACTTGCAGCCGGAGACGAAGTACTTTCATGACTTGAATATGACCAGCTTCAATGATGCGTCTTTCCGTTTGGCGGTTAGCGAGGTGGCCACAGACAGCAAGTTGATCACCAAGCTCAAGAAGGCGTACGGGAGAGATCGAGAAGCTCAAGCAATTTTCACAGCAATCAAGCGGCGTACAGATAGCCAGCAGCGAAAGCCAAGCGACACCAGCAGAAACAGTATCACTGCTATTCGGAAGACAATGGTTTGCTGTGGTACCAGACTCCATCCAGCGCCCAACAATGTGAAGTTGCGGCAGCAGGACATCAGTGAGTGTCACGATTCCACATCATGGGTGCGGAGCGGACGTACTTGACACTTGCTAGGCGGTGGTACTGGACCTAGATTTTAAAATCAATCCATTCGTACATCGCCGACTGTGAACCTTGTCGAAGGAACAAGCCGCGGCAAACGAACCACTAGGACTGCTAGAAACACTGCAGGTTCCGGACGAGCGATGGAGATCGATTTCGATGGACTTCATCACCGCCTTGCCACGAACAAAGCGTGAAGCGGATTTCACCAGGGTTGTCGTGGATCGACTGACAAAGTGATGTCACTTTGTGCCGACTACGAAGAAGGTGGATGCCGACGGCGTTGCCCGTCTCATCATCGACCACATCTGGAAGCTTCATGGAATGTCAGCAAGCATAGAGACAGGAAATTCGTTTCGACGTTCTGGCAACACGTCTTCAAATCAATCAGAACAACGCTCACGATGACAGTAGCGCATCGAGCTGAAGGAGATGGTCAAACGGAGTGGATGAACCCGACGCTCAAAGAATACTTGAGGTGCTACGTTGGCCCAGTTCAAGACGACTGGATATCCAGCTTTCCTATGCTGAGTTTGCAGTAAATTTGGCAGTGAACAGCAGTATCAAGATGGCGCCTTTCGAAGCTTATCTCGGATACATCCCTCTCAACCACTCCAACTCGCAGCCGAGAATCATGGCAAGGTCCCCACAAGTCGACGCGGTGCTGCACGAGCACCAAGCAGCTTTTCTTCGGCGGTGCCAGGAAGCACTAGCGGAAGCGCAAGAACGAATGTGCGACGCTACGACCAAAACCGAGAGGAGCAATTTTTAGAAATTGGCGACCGAGTGTGCTTGAGCACGAAACACTTGGATCGCAGACATACCGGGTTACCCAATTCTAGCAATACTGGTACGAAGTGGATAGGTCCCCGCACACACACAGCTCAGTAGCCGTTGATGCAAGACCAGTGTCACAAAGATGAATGAGAGCCGCCCGGAACACATCCATGAAGCAACCACCAGCAGTAGAAGCCTGGTCACGACGCGCGAAATACTTCTTGTAGTAATTGGCGAAGAACTATACTTTTTCATAGTACTACTAGCCGCCCATTTCAATAAGTCAATAATATAAGCCAATCGGATTCACTCACTTACCCTCCCGCTAGCAACCGCCGCCTCTTCATAGCCTTCACTCTCGAAACGGCGAAGCCGGCCGTCTCAACAGGGACTCGCTCGAACCGGTGCAATATTCGCCTTCGGGCCAGGATTCACTGGATTGGAGTGGGTTCCAGTCCGAGGCGGTCACCATGGCTTCATTAGGTTCGTCTGTATCATCTCCTGTTCTCTTGGTGGAGGTCCAGTCCACCGCTGGGCTCCGTGTGACTAAGTCACGACTGACACGTGCATCTTTGGCCGGGTCGTCATCGGAAACGGCCGCGAAGCATCCACAGGCTGCAACGCAGTCCGCATCACCATCACCACCGCCAACATCGCCACTAACATCGCCTCCATCGTCACCGCTACCATCACCGCTGTCGCGTTTATCGTCTCCGTTGCCTCCGATGCCGCCACTACCTTCACCGCCGTCGTCTCCGGCGCATCTCCTGCGGCGCCAACCGCTTTTGCTCTGTTGGTAGGTTCTCCTCCACCTGCGTTGACTACCGCGCCATCGTCACCTCTGATCGACACTTCAGTGGCGTCGGATGTGTCTGGCGAGTCGATTTTAAACCACCTGAAGGAACTGCATTGCGGTACGCTTTTCAGCAGCTCGGATGAAGAATCAGAGGAGGAGGACTCGGAAGATCCGCGCGCGGCACGTCCACCATCTCCCACTCCATCAGCTAGTGGTTTATTTGATGATGACAGCGATGAGGAGACCGAGCCTGTTGGTGTACTCAATCGTCTGAGGCGTAGTACCGACTCTGGTGACTGACACCCGTATGCCTTGCCTCCTGCTCCAACGAAGCATCCAGCCAACGGTCGTATCAACCACTACGGCCCGGCGGCACTATGGGATTACTCAGTTCCAGCCAAGATTGAGCAGCTGCACGACGTACGCGGCGAGTCTCCACTTCGGTGGCTCATCGTGAAATGGCAGAGTACCCCGCTTCAATTGAGGTGGATATGGGAGGAGCATCTCGACAAACGATTCGTTCGGCGTATGGATCAAGTAATACAGTGGCGTGACGATCTGTGTCCAGGCGTCGGACTAGAGTTTATGCTACTTTTCTGACCTGTCGTACAATACCGTATACTACAGCACAGCACAGTAAACACCACTCTGGTCCAACTCATCATTTCTCTGAAATGTAGTTCAGAGTACAGAAGCGATCTGATTCCCTGGTATGATTGTTGTCTTAGCTGAACCCTCATTAATCAGATTACTTTACTGAAATCGGTAACAACGGGATACTGTACAAACAGCACATTATTATGCCCAGTGAGATGCAGACCACTATGTACTTGTTGAAGAAGATATATTTGACGAATGTTGCCTGTGTCGACAGGTAGTGTGGATTACACTGATATTGGTATTCCAACGACCATCGCAATATATGCCACTCTAATCGAAATTTCAAGCTACGAAAAGGTAGAATACAGAATTGAATTGCATTCATTACTGCTAAAAGGCTCACGCTTGCACCACTTAAATAAAATGCATCAATTACATGTAGTTGACAAATACAACCATAACAATTAGAATGATCCATTCGACATCGATGGTCATATTCAACTTACTAGGTCATTGCGAGTACTTTTCAGTACAAGAAATAAGGTACCACATCTTATCGTACTTATTTCGTAGTTTTAAAAAAAAATCGTTTGTCAGCTACTTCAGGGTCTACTTTCGCTGCTTCAAACACGGCGGTCACCTTTCCTAAGCTATTGGAGGTGAAAGAATACAATTTGTTGCATTTCGTTCTTCAGTTTACTCCTTCACATACTACAATGGCTCGTTCTCTCTGCTTGATCGACTGGTGCTAACAGTCCAAGGCTGCTATTCTTCGCCGGGTAAGTCCCCGAAATAACAGCCCTGACACTGTTACTGCCCAACCTGCAACATCATACAGCTTGCTTGATGTCGTGTTCTGTTATTGTCGTGAGCACGTAGCTGTAGTTGATGTGGAAGTTTACCGTCAGACGGAGCGGCAGCTTAAAAGTGAGTGCCATACCCAGCTCTCTATCCGGTTGCATTCTCTTTTCTTATACCCCATGGTTGAATCTAAGGCTCAGTATAAATTAACTTTTACACATTTTGCCATACAGTTACTTAGTTCCAAATATGCAAGCATATATTTCTGACTGAAATTAGCAACCTGATCGGTTTATTTTTTTTTTTACCAAAAGTTGGAACTTGACATATATTCCGACTATTAATAGACCTGGATTTTGTTCAGGCGTGCTTTTAGCAGTAGTTCCATCGTTACCAAGCCTTCTGCTGGTATCTACACCAATGCACATGTTGTCAAAGCCAACAGAGTACTCCTTTGCTTCTTGGCATACATCGCAACGACGACGTTGACTGCTTGCTTTGCGGTGATCGAGAAATGACACTAGCTCAGCGTGTCCTATAAAGTCGCATTCATATATGCGATTAACGTAATCACAGCAAGGTAATATTCGTCAACGGGATATGCACTTTAACACTCCATTGGCTCACATACATCTAACACGGGTAAATAAAGTGGGTATCGGGCTTTGAATGTCCGGTCTGAATATCTCAAAATAAACAATCCGATTCAAATCCATGGAATGTCTGAGTAGAAAAAAAACTTCACATTAATTATATATGATACGGATACCGATGACAGTTCCTAGCGATTTGCATTAGCTCCGGATTGCAGTTAGTATTATTTTTCCTAATTTCCAGAGCTTGTTAGGGCCGAAGTCCCGAGTTTGTCTATTGATTCGAGAGTCTCACCTGTCCTGATTAAGCGGGAAGGACTGCATATGTAACTTTTTTGGATATCTTTTAGAATATACTGGATCATATGTGTAGGCCAGTTATGAAAGCGTTATTGTGCTTTGCAGATGTTTTGGCAAAAGAGGGGTATATTTCATAGTTATAAAAACTCTATTTTAAATCGTAAATCGGTTTATGATTTTTGATTACAACTAAAACTCTGTTTTCAGTGATACACATCGCAGAATTTTAGAGACTACGGACAGAATTAGAAGCACAAGAGTCAGAAAT